CCACACATCAATGCCAATGCATTAAAAAGTTCTACAGGAATTATCTTCATAGCACATTCTGTAGTTACACTATTGCTCTTAGGAGGCCAAGATGTTGGTGATTCCACAGAAATAATCTGATTTCTTAAATACATGCTAGCATGATACAAATTGTACCTATTGTTTTCATCGCCATCAAAATGTATTGCACAAATATTCGGGGAATTAATTTTCGCCGTATTCTAAAATTTTTGAATTTAAGGGAGATAACTACTAGCCTAAGAAACGTCATATTTACTCAATTGTTATCTCCCTTAATTGATTTTTATGCTCAAATTTACCGATAAAATATTCAATTTAAAAGGCAATTTATAAAAAAATGCGCATTTCTAACCTGGAGAACTTTTTAGATTTAGACTCTACGGCATCGAAACTCCCGAAATCAAGTAAAATTTTTTATATAAATTTTATGTCCACGGAATGAAACGAAAATCGACCGTGGCCTATAGCCTATCTTCCTAAACCCGATATATTGAAGCCCAACGTATTGAGTTATGGATAGCTAGAATGCAATATGTTTGGGGTAACGTGATTGTAAAGGTTATAAAATCCATTCATGGACCCTCTAGGCCTTATCACAGAGTTTCTTTGTTTTTATTTCATCATTTCACCTGAAGCGAGGCGGGAATGCCACTAGTATGCAAGGGGTTACAGGGAAAGAGAAGAAAAGATAGAGGGAAGTCACGCCACGTCGGTGAAAAAGTGACTGAAGTTAAGATGACAAGTCAGGATCAATTACATTACAGATATTTCTTTAGATTTTGTCACGTATCTATTGATGGACAGCAGAAACGCCAGACCAGACATGACAGCACTATGGACGAAATTTAGATTTGTAAATATGCAAGATGGACTCTGACAGGGAACCAAACTTCCTTGCAGTAGATGCAGCCATTGATTCGATATAGTTGCTCCTCTACAAGTCAGTGGAAAACGTGAAGCCAAGAAGGTACAGTATGTTGCTCTCCAATAGTCTAGTGCTAATCATGCTGATAGCAGGCAGCAAAACGTTCTATATTGTGGCTAAATGAAAAGAGTTTTGTTTTTGAGGCGTTAAAATTTACAAGCCATTTCCTGCCCCAGTTAACCACTGATTTGAGGTATTTTTTGTTGTTAAGTGTACGGTTTTCATTTGCTCATGGTCTCTATCCAAGGCCTCACAGCCCTCTCCATCACATCCTTATAATCAGTAGCACTGGCTTTTAAGCCCTGGAGAAAAAGTGAAAAACCATGACAAACCACTCTTTGTTCATAACTCTCAAGACTGTCACAGTTGTCGGACACTTTCTGTCCATAATAGTTGGATTTTTCTTTGAGTCGCAGCATAAGCATCTTTCATTCCTTCGGTTAACAATTTGGTTCTGGCCAAAGAAAAAAACAAATCCTTCCAGGCTCTTGATGTTTTAATTTACATAACAAACGATTTGTGCGGATTAGATGTGGTTATATTTTGTCTTTGCAGACAAGAATTGGTCACTCCACATAACATATGACTTGTATCGAAAGGCTTCGTGCACAATTCTTTGGACAGAATCTCTTGAAATCTTGAACCCCATAGCAATGGTATTAACTGACTATCTGGGGTTCTTGTCAATAATTTTCTGTACCTTTCATACACATTTGGGTGTTCCGGTGGTATCAGGAGACGTAGCAGGCATTTTACGTTTAGCTACTGCAGTAGAACCACCGTCACCGGCTTGCCAGTTCTTTGCGAAATTTAACAACAAACGACTGTACACCTTTAAAGAAGCGGGCAATCTCTAAATCACTACGCTCTGCTTTGAAGCCAACGATTATAGCGTGACTTTTTATTTTCTGAGTTAGATTAATTGTTGTCATTTATCTGAAAAAAAGAAAAAGAAAAGATAATCGGACTAAGGTAGAACTAAGTTAGGGTTATTAAGAGACCTATCCTCAAAGAACTGATGAAGAATTGTTAGACTTTAAGACTTAAATCATCAATAATGTTGCCCGATTCATTGGATCGTCTTACGGGATGATAGCAGTAAGTATAAAGTCTTTTACTGTCACTTCTTACTGATTATTACATTGTTGTTGCTCTCCAAGAGCATCTCAAGGTAGAAAATGAATGAGATTGTTTACACTATTTACATCGTTCGGGCTGTTGTCCTCATTTAAATTGTCATATCCACGACGTTTCGGCCGTTGTGCGCTTCGAACGTGATGTACGTTGGAATTTAGAACCGAACCCTTTATTTAGTCCAAGGGGGTGATAGTTTTAATTTTATGTATTTTGGGGGTATTCCAATTAAGTTAGTAACTCAACTCACTAAGTTTTGTTCCCTCTGCTGGGGTCAGGTATTGGTCAAGTCACTTTTTGGATTTATTAATCGACGCTTTTTATCCACTGGGCCATGTATTCTTAAATGAAGACAACAGCCCGAACGATGTAAATTGTGTAAATAATTACAATATCTCATGTCCGAAATACAGACAGATATTGAATATAGTTTTCTTAGGGACGTAAGAAGGGAATGGTAGAAATGGAGATTATGAGCATATGTAAGATAGATAACGATTTTTAATCATTTCATTCTAAGCAAGATAATTTAGCCTCTAAGATGCAAGTAGTTATTGATTGTTAGACAATGTTTGAAAAAATACTATTTAGAAGAATGAATAATAAAAGAACCGGAATTAAGAAGACGGATGATCATTTGAAGTGGTTAAGCTTGGAGAGATCAAAGAAGCATTCATTTCGTAGCTTGTTCCACAAAGCAGTAAATCCGAATGGAACTTTATGGGATAATATAATGAACACTACAATATTTGTCTTGCAAGACAAAATTGTTGTGTTCATCTGAAATTTAAAATTTAACTTTCAGATGAATACAAGAATTTTGTATTCTAAAGTAATGAACACTACAATATTTGTCTTACAATAAACAAGCCCAGATGATGACATTGTGCTATGTCGAAAGTACACGAAATAAATAATATGTATCATTTTTCTCTCGTCCTTTAATAAAGACATCAAAAAGCTAGTCCGTGAATATGAAAGGATTCAATTGAAAATAAGTAGACAAAACTTGCCTAAATTATTTCAATGAGACATGTCTCAAAGAAAACATGCTGCCAAAATATACGCACATATATATATATATATATATATATATATATAT